AAAACTGTTAAAATCATTATATCCTAGCATAATTTTAAGATTTTCTGACATTTTATTACTATTTATATATTTTATCCATATTTTAATATCACTTGTAAATATCACGCAATTCAGTCTTTTGACTGCAATGTTGATTTATTAATAAAACTATCTATCTCACTATCTATCTAGCGAATGATCGGCAAGATGTCAATTCAATGTCATATAAATTTAGGTTACACAACAATTGACGCCGCCTCGTCATACTGTCTCGTCATTCCGCTGTCTAGGCAGTGTTAAAGCACTTTGGGAAGCTTATTTGTTCTGTTTTCTTCCATAATTCAGTATTTTATCAATTTCTGCAATATATCGTTGTTCTTCAAACTCCGTAACAACCTGTGATTAACTTTTCTTTTTAAAAAATGAAAGCATGAGAAATCTCTTACTGTTATCATGATCGTAGCTGATTGAAATATTTAGTTGTTTTGTTTTGGCGACTAGCCAAAAGAGAACAAATTTGTTTGGACACTTATCCTGACAAAATTCTGATTAAACCTACTTCAGCTTTATGAAGGACAGTATAAACTTTAGTAGCTTAAAGAATCTTGTAAAAACAGTAAGATTCCGTATAAACTTTAGTAGCTTAAAGAATCTTGTAAAAACAGTACGATTCCGTTGTTTCAATTTTTGATAGAATAATTTAAAGTAGATGAAACAGGTTCGAATACCAGTGATGTCGCCCCGAAGTGATCTCACCCCGCGATCTCGCCCCCATATATAAGTGATCTTACCCCCACACATATAACATTGTATTATTGCTATTTTTCTAGAGCAGAAACTAATCAAGAGTTCTGGAGTTCTTGAAATGTCAAAGTTCTTGTTTAAGATATGTTGATAAACTTAACCACTGCAATGATCCACTCGACTCGCGTTAACTATTTGTTGTGAACTAAGTACTTAATTTAGTGCCAAAAGACATGTATTTGTCTCACAGACTATTAGGCTTCAGATTTTCTGCCCTTTCAAGTAATTGTGAGTTATACGTTTGAATATAATCAAACGATCTAAAGAAAAAACAGGCCAAAAACTTTTCACTTCGATCGCACGCCATTTTGTTTTGCTTAGTAACYGCKCWTTTATGGTTTCCCTTTGCGTTTACCATGTCATAGTTAATTAGTTTTACTGGGAACTTTAAATTCTTTATTGATAAATAATGAATAATAGCATTGGTCATGGACTTTTCAGTCATGTGGTGGCTCTTAAAAGAGCCGTTTTTTTGTTTTTATTCGACGCGGGGTCCGTATAATTTGGCCACTGCTTCCAGGAGGCTGCGGGAGTTGATGTCGCCGTTCTCGTAGTCGTCCCACAAACTAAATATTTTGGAATGGAGGAGGAGGTACTTCCTGCGCTGTACTCGTCTCAGCTTTTTTGCACGGACAAGACGGACTTGTAGGGAGACCAGCTTGGCTTCTTCTCCAAGGAACTGTATCAGGAGGTACATGGGGAGGTTGGTTTTCCCGTGGGCGTGCTTGTTGAGTGCGTTGTGCCACCCTTCGATGTCGTTGTTCGTCCGTATTGCTTCTTTGAAGACACACCAGTTGTCTTTGGTCGAGACAGGGGATGCTAACCAGTTGTCCTCGAAGTAATCAACGAGTTGTCGGAGTTCTGGGGTGGCGTCGTCTTTCAGTCGTCGGAGGTTGCGTCTGATACAGTCGGTCGGTAGGAAGGGTAGTGCCATCAGCTTTCGTATTAAGATGTAAGTGGAGTCGTCGTTTGCATATGCCACTTGGAGACCAAGTTCCTGGACTTTGCGATAGACAGCTTGAACTAAGTGAAACACGCAGCCACGCATGGTGATGTTGGGGAAGACTCTGCGGCATGACTTCCAGGCGGCTTTCTCAAAGTCTGTGATGATGGTCTCCACTGAGGGGTTGTCTGGCAAGGCATCTGAAACTCGTTGGAGGACTGCGGTGTAGTCGCGGGCTTTTTGTCCTGACATTAAAACGAACACCTGTTTCGCACAGTCACCATTCTCTACAAAGGCGTTGCTGGTAAATAGCTGTGTGAACAGGTGTCCAGCACGCTTCATATAAACAATTTTGTGTGGCAGCACGCATGGTTGTAGGACGCGCTTCATGTATATAATAGCTAGTTAACAGTTATTTTAACTGTTTAATAAATTTGCATATATGCTGGTTTTGCGAAAAAAAGATTCAGAAGGCTAATAAGGTTTTATTGTAAAGTAAAGCAAAGTAACGAACACTGTGCAAGCCCGCATCGGTGTAGAACACGTTGGTAACATTCCATCTCAAAAACTTCCAGACACCTTGACAACAAACCAGGACAAATGTGTAAACAAACATTTTTGTCTTCGAGTTAGACCTAAACTAGAAAAATTATTACTAAAAGAACATTCTAGACCGATACTTAGTAAAGATGAAACATATTTAAACTATTTATATTTATTAGAACAGTGTTGTGCAAGTAAAATTCTTGAGTGATCATTAAAAAAGACAAACTATCGCTC